AATCTTCTCTCCTCCTGGATATTAAGCTGATGGGATAAGTTTAAAGTTATAATGAGCAAGACTGGCTCTTCCAAAATTGTGAAAGATGTTAACCCAGGTTCAGGGGCTCGGGGGAGGGGCTTACTTATTATAAACTGAAAATGAATTCATGCCCTGATAATCTCCTTTGCTCCTTGGTATTTAGCAAACGAACTTATTGCAGAGTTATGATGAAGAAGGATGCCTCTTCCGAAATTGTGAATTTCATGGCCCCTGCCTCAGAGATTCTGGTGTAAGAGAGGGGCTCTAATGATTGTATAGTGAAAATGCATTAATAATTTAACAATCTTCTCCTCTGCTCCTGGGTATTAAGCCAAAGAGATAAGTTTATAGTTATGATGAGCAAGAGTGCCTCTTCCAAAATTGTGAAAGATGTTAACCCAGATTCAGGGGTTCGGAGGAGGGGCTTATTTATTATAAACTGAAAATGAATTCTTGCTCTGGAAATCTTCTCCTTTGCTCCTTGGTATTAAGCAAACAAACTTATTGCATAGTTATGATGAACAAGGATGCCCCTTCCAAAATTGTGAATTTAATGGCCCCTTGGTCAGGGGAACTGGTGCGTAGGTAGGGCTCTATTGATTATATAGTAAAAATGCATTAATGCTTTGGAAATTTTCTCCTCTGCCCCTGAGTATTAAGCAAACATATGAAATTCAATAATATCATTATATTAAAGATCATGCAGTAAATGTGCTTTTTCTTTGCTCTTGGGTATATAGGGGGTAAACCGAGTACAAAATTGTAATAAGTAAAGCAAATGAGAGTTACTACCCTTTGCTATAAATTGTATTAATCAAGAAATCCTTCTATATACAGTGTAGTTTAATTAGCAGGTTATTAGATTGAATGAGAACATATAGTAACAAAATGAAAATAAATGTTTGGTTTAAATGAGCAAAGCATGCTCAAAATCGGATTCTTGCTGGAAAGCAATAAAAAAAAAAGGATTGCCATAAAGATTTTTATACATTTAGCAAAGGGTCTAATTTTGCAAAGTATGTTTATACTGTAGTGGCCTGTTTGACAGTTGATGAGTTATTGTCAGGTAAATTCATGGTTGGCAAGAGACGGATAAGTTGCTGTATACTGTACCAAAGTGAACAAATAATTACAAAAAGCCAGGGTGACTAGGGGACATGTTGTAGTTAGTGACAAGTGTCAAATAGCCACATTTATAGCCAAGTCTCTATTTGTGTACTGAATTGTAACACTAGGCGAGCAACAAACTTCTGTATATATTGTATGCCTTACACACTAGGCAAGTGAACATTGTATTTGTATATGTTGCATTCATTGTAAGACTTGGGAAAACCAAGTACAATCCCAAGGAAATCACTCGGGTCTTGCATGTTGCACTAAGCAAGGGTGTTTCTACCAGATTTTTGATATTCATAGCTTCATCTAACAGTTAATTTTATTTTATAATTCAATGAATCCTTTGCAGTATTATACTCAGGTGATCGTTAAGGCCGTTGGTCCTCTTGTTAAATTTAGTGTCCATTTTTGTTTCATTTTCATACCTAAAAACCAATCCATCCGTGCATTATACACAACATAAAATTGGAATAGCTTTAAGATACCGGTAATATAATCTTTAATAATCTCAAAATCAGCATAACTAGTTTATTAATGGGCAGTACAGCAAAATAAAACTACAGTATTATTTCACTTAATCATTTATTACTTTACACTGCTTTTTACATATATATTCAATAAAAATGAAGCTAAAATATGAAAACAAAGAACACATTAATTACATTTTTTAAAAGAAAAAATAGGTATCAAAATTGAGAATTTGAAAATCAAGATTGGATCTCAACTTAATATACGAGGGGTGATCAAAAAGTTCGCGAACTAATTGAATAACTTCCATAAAGGAAATGAAATTAGGTTTCAGTGTTCATCATTTTTCAAAGTAGTCCTCTCCGATTTAAATGCATATCTGCCACCGTTCTGCCCATGCGCGAATCACGTGATACAGGCGGCCACGTGACATGCCTCGAAGCGTTCCGTTCACAGAAGGTAAAAGATTTTTCCGAGTCTTATATTTCTTACCATGAAAGTTATTTTTTATAACAAGAACAGTCAACTTGTCAAAAATGGCCAAATATCGGCAATAGGATGGGTAGATAAGGATGTCCTTTCCCGAAATGAGCATGGTGACCATCACAACCCTAGTCTTCTGTCTTGGGAGCGTCGTTTATCCAATGTGGATAAAGTACGGGCGCCTTTTTTTTTTTATCATATCTGATATGTTTAAAGTCTAAAGTAAACGATATTTTAGGGATTCAATAACTATATTATTGTAAAGATATTCAACTATTTTTCTAAATGTAACTTGGCGGTCTTTCATATCAAATTGCTCAACTGAGGACACATCCCTTCCCCATCTTGCTTTCACAGGGCAAGAGAACAAACATCATTTTTAACCATCTCCCTTCTTTCACTGAAACAATCAATCCAATGAATGATTGAACTCCTGGCAAGTCTTTTGTCTTCATAAACTTTGTACAAATTGTTATATGCTACTGCAAAGGAATTTCCAAGATACACATTAAACTTTACAGCCGTTCGCTACTCGAGTACGACTGAGTCCATCATTTTTTGTCACAAGTAACCTACCTATTGACGTCATTTTCACATTGTGACGTCACAAACATGGAGCAAAACATTACATAAAACTGCTATTTATAGAACATATGTATGACTATATGTGTGCCAAATTTCATTCTGATCTGAATTGTGTTTTTCTAAATATAGAGATAGTTCGCGAACTTTTTGATCAACCCTCGTACTATGTCAGGTTATTGAAGTTATATTGGTAAAAATTGGCATGAGTTGGTTGTACAATTGCACGAGCTTGAGAGTGCATGCATGCATTTATTCAGTCAACGAGTGCTAATATTATTCATTTTAAGTTAAGTAACTTGTTTTTTATATAACTTTGACATTTCCCATTGATTTATATTAAGTATTTTAATTTAATACATATAACTCAGAATTAATTAGAAATTTCAATACCGGTATTTAAATTTAAACCGTGCAATAACAGTGTCTGTTCTGTAAGTGTTCAATATATTTCAGATATTCACTTCAGCTTTTCCATCGTCAGCTTTCTTTAGTTATGTACATGTGTGTAGTTATTAGTTTATTCCGCTATCACTGGCATACGGGTTTTCTTTCCCAACTTATTCGATACTTAAGAGTATGCTCTGAATACGATCAATTATTAAACTTAGACATGATACTAATAGATAAGTTAATGTTACATGGATTTCAACAACCTCGTTTAAAGTCGGCATTTCGTAAACTCTATGGCCGTTATAATGACCCTGTTAGAAAATATAACCTATCATTGTGTTGTATTTTTGCCAACGTGTTACACACCAATTGTAAGGCCTTTGTTTGTAGTCCCCTACCGGTGAAACCGGAGGGGACTATAGGCTTCCTCTGCGTCTATCCGTCCGTCTGTCTGTCTGTCTGTCCCACTTGGTTTTCCGCATTTTTTTTCCCTAAACGCTTGTAGATATTGAGCTGATTTTTGGTACGTGAGTGTATCTTGATGAGTTACAGATCAAGTTTGTATTTCGTTCCGCTTCATTGACTTTTCACGAAATTTCAACCTTTTCAATTTTTAAGGTTTTCCGCAATTTTTTTTTCTAAATGCTTGCAGATATTGAGCTGATTTTTGGCATGTGAGTTTACCTTGATTAGTTATAGATTAAGTTTGTATTTCGTTCCGCTTCAATGATTTTGACGGAATTATGGCAATTTCAATTTTTAACGGGAACCAGATTACACTTGCCGGTAGGGGACTAGTATTGCTAATGCAATACTCTCAGAATGCTTGTTTATACTAAACTTGACTAAGGAAGATTCCGTCTAAAATGCCCTTATTACTTAAAACAAAAAATGCATCAAGTATATTTCATTTGGGTAAAAATATTTTTATTAAGTTTGTCTTGATCATCTATTGGGTTGTCACATGTCTTATGCATTGTGATTGTTATCCCAGTGTGTAAACGTGAAGAAGTTTTCCGAAATCTATCAGTTAGAGTAATCTAAACACAAGTTCAGATAGAGCAAGCTGCCGTAGGCAAAGATATATGGAAAACGTGATTAAATCAAAATTAAAGACAGAAGAGGGCAATCAATTTATATACAAGATCAAGATAATGAGAGAGAGAGAGAGAGAGAGAGAGAGAGAGAGAGAGAGAGAAAGTTTTAATCTTTCAAAAATTTTCAAACCTTACAGTGATGTGTAATATGTGAAATTTCTGATTTCCGTTCGACTTCATTATCATAAACAAGAACATATGCACTTGAATTTGATCATGAAACTTAGGCTTAACAACCAAATACAGGCCCGTAGGAAGCAATTTCAGTTGGGGGGGGGGGGGGGGCACAGCTATACATTTTCAGTTGAGGGGGCACTATCAACTACCAAAATTCCGTGACAAGCAAAAAAAAAGGTCATCAGACGTTTTTTATTGAGGGGACACAAGCATATAGTAGAGCTCTATGTTTTCCATAGTAAACTATATATCGGCAAAATTATTTGGGGGGCACCCCCCCCCCCCCGTGCCCCCCAGTTCCTACGGCCATGAAATATGTGATGAAGACAAACTTAAAAAAAAAAATAACCAAAATGAAATATGCTTGATGCAAACTATGTTTTAAGTAATAAGGGCATGCTTGATTTCTGAACCTTGTATGAACTTTATTTCATCACGTGGTTATTAAAACAATGATACAGGGTAGCTATGTTTCGTGACAAAATAAATCTGATACCACTTCATTAATGGCGCTCATTCACGGGTCAACAATTTTAAGGAAGTATAAAGTTGCGCAAATAAGAAAATTACTTTCAGACCTTTCGTAGATTTATCTAGGGGTCGAAGGCGCTGAAGGACACCCTTCAGAAGACAAAATTCTCTGAAACAGCTGATCAACAAATTATGGCTGTCAGAAAACTGTGCTTACTTCTCGGTTTCTGCGCAATTGCAGCTGCGCAGATAAGTTCTAAGTATTGTCCACATGAGCAACCTGACGTTAAGTACAAGGTTTGGTCTTCTGAGAATAGTTGGAGTTCTGGGGTGAGTAGCGTGTTAATTTTCTTTTTTCTTTTTAGTTTTCATCTAGCTGACAAGGGATAATGTACTATGCAAAAATTATTTTGAAATACAAACTCTTTTTCTACACATCTGCAATGACATTTTATGCATTAATTACTACGATCATATTGTTTAAAATAGATTTTATAATCTATATAGCAAGTTTATATAAAGCGTAAACTTTCCTAACCCAGGTAATTATACTCGCCAGCACTTAAATTAATTCCAAAATAAATTTGTTAAAAAGTATATGTTGTTTACGTCAATATTTTTTAAATGTGTAGTTCGAAGACATTGGCAACACTAGATAGGTGTTGGCCACAATGGAGAACATGAGTAGCATGGCTGTAGAAACCGTGGAGGGGGGGGGGGCTCGACCAAAAAGGAAAAAAATCCAAATTGCCTCTTAGGGGCCTGAGAAGAACAGAATTTCTCAAAAATATGTCTTGCAACAATAAGTGTGGCCAGTAAATTGTCCAAAGTGAATATTTGACTAACTTGCTAAAGTAAATAATAAAATCACTCAAGAAGAATTATCAAATTATCATGGAAAAAAGACAGCAAAACAATTTATGTAAGATATATAGTCAATGGTCTTGATTGCCTACATAGGGTTGATATAAATTTATCATTTAAATCTGTTTACCGATAATACAATTTCATATTATTAAGCATTTCAAAGTAATTGACTTTCATGGTTGTAGGGAAGAAAAGAGAAAAAAAGTAAACATTTAATTTTAAAAATATAATTTACCTCTAATTCGATTGAGGAGTTCTATAAAGATTATAAATTTATTTAAAAAAAAAAAAACAATTTTTTTTCTTCCTCTCTACCTTGTGGTGAATACATTAACGTAAAGAACAGAACAGTTACTATCTATACCCCGTCTCCCGGCCAATTTGAAATAGATATAGGATCAAGGGATATGCAGATGGTGGAGGTAGCATAAATTGCCTTAAGTGTTTAATGACGAAAAAAAATCAACATACTTGATTTTAATATGCATTTAGTAGCAAATATTTTATCAGGACTCTCTTCCGTTACGGGGGGAGGAGGGGGATTGGTTGGCTCTCTTTGAATCCACCTTTGAATTTGTTTCTCTCAAGAAGGATTTACATTAACAATGGGTATTTAAGCGGGGTATAATTTTTTTAGTGTGCAGAGAAAGTAAACAAGAAATCAGATTTAGGTCTAAGTTTAAATTAATTAATTATGGTGGCCTCTCAATATGAGTGAAAAATTCTGGAAAGTGACGTTAAATAAACAAACAAAAAACATCAATTATTCAATTAATTAATAAAAATATGACGTTGTTCTAACGTAGCATTCTTGTTTCTTTCTTCAGAAACTACCGGAAGCTACAACAGACGTAACTTTAGATGACGGGTTCTACCTACTTGACACGTCAATTGACGTCAGAAGCGTCACGGTTGGCAAGGACGCTACACTTGTGTTTAAGGATGTTGACCTCACCGTCAAGACTCGCTACATCCTGGTCCGTGGGGCGCTTTATCTCGGCTCTGAAACGTGTAAACTCAAAAGCATCATTGCCATTACCTTATATGGTAAGTTCATTACAGTAAATGTTAATAGAAATGAGACTGCTTATTGCTGATTTTTAATAATTAAATTACTAATATTTCATTGCATCGTTTGATTAAAAAAAAAAAGAAGAATTTACCTGCATGGTGGGCGGTCAAATACTTGTAGTACAGCTACTGGAGAATATACAATATAAGAAAATATTCACTGGATGAAAACGCTGAAACAAATCATTCCTTGATCATCACACACAGGCATAGGAAAATTACCCATAGTTTATTGCAATAAAAACTAAGTAAATATTCATTACATAATCCTGGTCAATGTTTTTCTTAAAAGTAAACATTTTATTATCATCATTTTTAAGGTGATAAAGGTGATGTTTCAATATCTGGTTTTGGAGAGAAATTCATTGGAGTAGAGAGTGGCGGAATTCTCCATCTTCACGGAAGTGACAAACTGCCGTGGACTAAACTGACCCAGACGGTCAGGAAAGCGAAGGACGGAGAAATCTCAGATATATACGTAAGAATGTAGATCTTTTCAACATTAAACAATATTATCTGTGAGTTGTCATAGTTAATATGCAGTCATGAAATTCTATTTTTATTTTTTAACTTCAAAAGGAATTGATTTCTGTGATCTTGTATTTGAACAATGAAATATGAAGATAACGAACAGAAATCTAACTGAAAAGTCCACTGAAACAATATAAATCTACATTAGATTTTTGATCCGCTCCAAAAGTTCGCTTTATTTAGCAATCCAGTGGAGCGCATCAAAGATCTATTTTTCATGAAACTAGTATTTCATGTTATTGTAGAACGATGATGGTGTCAGAAAAGCCCACTTTCAAGGAATTGTAATGTATATCTGGAACGCAACTTCCGGGGAGCTAGAGGAAGCGAAACCTGCGTATGCAGCTGGTCGATACACAGTCACCAGAGCCGGCAATCAGTGCGAGGCTGATCAGGATGCCAAACAGTTTGAAGAAATGCTCAACGGTATTTTACTTTACTTCATACCAATGCGCATGTTTTGACATAAAGTTCATTTCTGAAAATTAAGCCTCGCTTCTGACATAGCTCTTGCTATTTTCCATCGGAATTTAAGGCTTTTTTGTTAATGAAAATCAAGGTTGGGAATTTTATTTTTTTATTTATTTATTTATTTGGTGAAATTTAGAGCGGAAAGGATAATGTCCCTTAAACCTTATATTTTGCATTTTTGGTAAGCTTACTGCAATATCACCTTTCTAAAAGCTCTTAATTTAATTTTAATTTTTTAATGAGTGTATATTCGGAATTTTCTGAGCAAAACTCTGAACATCAGAACTTTATTTACACCCCTGTTACAATGGAGTTTAAATAAAGTCGTTTAAATTGAAGAGGCATTTTTAACGCGATTTTTTTTCTTTTATAGCTGTACCCGACGGAAAAATAGTTGGTTTGGCTTTAATACGACATCTCCTGCACAGAAATATAAATTACGCCATGTTCTACGAGATCTTTGAAAACGTCGCCTTCGGAAAAGTGACGGGAAATAGTGGTGTGCGTGATCTTCGTCTGCATGACGCTTGGTCTTTCATCATGAAGAAAGGTATCTAAAATTTTCTTTCAATTTTTGAATTTTAAACAAATAAGAAACTGACAATTTTATTTTTATTCCCTCTTAAGGTATTGTCTGCTTGTTTGTTTGTTTGTTTTTGTATATGACTAGTTTCAACCTCAAGTTTCAGTTTTAACGATGGTTTTCCGTCAGAAGACTTTTGAATGATATTTGATATTTATATATATGAAAGCCTTGAATTAATCTTTTTGTCATCACATACTCGCAAACGAATGTACCCCGTTTGAATAAAAAACACGAACAACAGTGATCTCACGATCTTATAGATCCTTTAACAAAATTGTGGTCGCCCGCGTGGCGCAGTGGTTAGAGCGTTCGCTCTGGAGTCGCGGAGTAAGGAGTTGATCCTTACGTCGCGGGTTCGAATCCCACTGTGGGACGTGGAGACCGGTCCTTCGGATGAGATCGTATAAACCGAGGTCCCGTGTCACAGTAGGTGCTGGCACGAAAAAGATCCCTCACTGCTCAATGGCCCTAAGTGCCGCGTATTGGTCAAAATTTCAGTGTAGCTCTCCACCGGCAAGTGGTGGCGTCTCCATATGAGTGAAAAATTCTCGAGAGGAACGTTAAACAATAAACAAACAAAGAAACAAAAAACAAAACAAAATTGTGAACAAGACACTACTTTAAGTTTGTTTTGTTGTAGTTTTGAATTCACCCACTGAAGTGGTTCAAAGATCACATGAATTTATAGATTAAAGACTTTGGCTTCTGTCCTTTGTAATGTTTCACATGTTTTAGGTGACAGCTCTACAGCCCAAGAATTACTTTTGAAAGACGATAAAGTAAAGCTGGAGCGTGCCGCCGAGTTATACCATTACGAAAATAATATCAAGTTCACTGTTAGGAGCTGGGTTCACACCATTCGTCGTGGTGCCTGCTACTCCCGAGGAAAGAGCGCTCAAGCTGACATCGCTGATCCAAAATTATCACTGACTAGTGACGTCACTTCCTGGACAGATGGTACGTATTAACTGGATGATCTGCATCATCTAGCGATAATGATTGAGATTAAAATCAATGTTAAGTATTACACCACCGACAATTTTAGGAAGTTAAATTCTTCGGCACTAAACTAAATAGTAATACTTATCTCCATATTTCATTGTACGTAAGAGGGGTAATAGCTTACATTTTTTAGGCGATGAAGTGGTCCTCCTGTCTACCGATTATGACCCAAAACAAGCGGAGGTGACCACTATTAAACAATGTGATGACTGTGGATCGAAGGAGACGAGAATTAATCGTACGTATGAAGCCTCAGTTTGACAGAAACATATATATGACAACCTGCTAGTGACTGTATTTAACTGTTCATTGAAGAAATACTGTATATATATTACTTTTGGGGTGTAAGATATTTGGCGAAATAAATTTTCATCAATTTACCGTATTTTTGATTTAGCGCTTTCTGAGTGTGTTAGATATCAACATATCCTCAATTCTCATTGTATCGCGGGTTCCATTGTATCGCGGTATATTTCAAAAATTCGGATACATAGCTCATATCCTTTTTGTTGATGGACTATCTGTCTGTCGTCTGGATGTTGACTTTTGTGGTGATTAAAAAGTATGGAACATCCGTTGGAAAATGTTTTATTCAAATAAAACGTAATTTTACAGATTTCCATTCCCGTTTTTATATTTATTTAGACCATTGATTTTATAACCTGTAAAATCTATAATAAAGTTCATATTTTGAAAGTCTTAAGTTTGTATTATTGTTTAGTTTTCATGTAGAAAAATAAAAATTGAAATCCATGTCAGTTATAAGCTTCCATGTAAAAAGTAAAAATTTGGAATTACACTTTTTATGCAAAAGAATTAAGTATCGCGATATAATGAGACACCAGTATATAACGAATAAAACTTGTTTTAGCGGATTCTGCTTTTCCCAAAAAGCGCTAAATAGAATACAAGGCCAAATATACTGCAGTAATGCCTATACACTATATTTTCCCATTGGACATATTTTCTGTTTATTTTACATAAAATTGCAGTTGAACCTTTGTTCGCTCACTTTGGACAAATGGTTAATGGCGTCGATATGCGAGGAGAAGTTGCTCTACTTAGCCGTAATATAAAAATCCGAGGGGCACCGGCAGCTAATAGCAAGACACTCGGGGGACATATCAAGGTAGGTTTTTTTAAGTTTCACACTTTTAAATTTAGAAATTATCCTTTTCACATATTATATTTCCACATTAATTAAAAAAAAATCTGGTTTAAGCAATCGGCAATCTTGGGCATAGTTCGCTACCTTCCATACAAGCACTGGATATGATTGGTGGAGGAATATGCATCAAATCGATGCATTTCTACTCTGGAACTGCTTTTTAACTCATTTCATATTTCGCACTGCATAAAGTTCACCAAAAAATTCCCTATCTTATCCAATTCTTCCTTGTATATTGGTTTTCATTACAACCTTCTGTTAGTAGTATTTAAAAGCAGACACATATTGTTGAACGTGCCACAAAGTAACTCAGATTTCAAAGGAAGATATTTGGAGGAATTTCGAATTAGATCACATGACTGGTATTAGCAAAATGGTAGAACACCGTTCACGTCCAAGGTAATACGTGCGAGGCACAAGCCACCCAATTGCAAGGAACTCTGAGCAGGTTAAACGTAAAATAATGATAATGGCAAACGTGGAAAGTGGTAACTTAAACAATGAACTAAAAAAGTTTCATGAAATACGGTTGATTTCTGAGCCTTGATTAAACATCACATATTGTATTACGGGGGTTGTCCGGTAAAGATCGTGGACAACACGTTTTTATTGAAAAGTTGAAATTTTAGCAAATGTTCTTTTGTCATATTGAAGTACTTTTTATAGGATATAGATGAAAATACGGAATTTATTATCCCCTCGCAACGGAGAGCTGAGGATTTAGTAAGGCAATCCTGTGTGTGTGTTTGCTAGTGGGTGTTATGTCCTGTGCGAAACGGAAGTGACGTAATTTGTATCGGATTCAATGTCGAATGCTGTCTTAATTTATAGATATGTTCTTTGCGAGGGGATGCTTCGCTTTGCGGTGTCCTTGTTATACTTGAATGTGCGTAAGATATGGGCATACAACTCACAATAACAAAATCAGAAAATACGCGAGTATTATTTCTAAACTAAAAAAGTTGGAGTAAAATTTTTCATATTTACTATTTACTAAACACCATAAACAGGTGAAAGTGGAATATTACTACATAAATAAGGAAAGTTGACGATGAAAAAGCTTAAGTCATCTCGTTTGTCATACAGTTGTTAGTTGGCCCTTATTGTCTATAGTCAGTAAAACATCCAAGTATGAAACAGTTGTGGCAGACTCTGTGGTTTCTTTTATCTCAAGTTCACTGGGATAACTATTGTTAATTGATAGAATATCGTCGATGTATCTGAATGTCGAATTGAAGGCCACAGCAAGTGCTTTCCTCTTCTCATGTAAAAGTTTTTGATTATTAATTATGAATTTGAATATCAATTATGACGTTAACCAAGACATTTTCTAAATTTTCAGCTGTTTCCCGAGCTTTTGGAAATGGGAAAGTGGTTAACACTTTTAAAAAAATGGCGACGTTTTATGACGCAACGGCGCACCAATTTTTTTTAGAACTAGTAATGACGGTTTTACAGACTCTAAATAATAGATATAGAAATAAATCAAATATATATTTTTATATATAAGTGGAATTGTTGTATTGTAAGCGGGAGCTTTCTCATTCTCATTCGATTCCCGGGGAAAAACAGAAACAAGAACGAACAGCTACTGATAAAAAAAAAACAAAAAACAAACAAACAAAAACAAATTAAAAAACAACAACAACAACAACAAAACAAAGCAAAGCAAAAATAAAAAACACCCCCCCCCCCAAAAAAAAAATCGCCGTCACTGCTGGATCATAGAAAAAGATTGCCCTGTTTAGTTGAATGTAGCGAGAGTACTGTCCATTGATTATTAAGCACATCTTTAGAAGGTCCCTTTTTGCTCGAGATTTGTTTCTTGTCTGTATATGTTGGAATTCTAGCTTCTGCATCAGCGAAATTTCCCGAATTTAAGTAGCGTTTATCCAATTTATTTATCTTTTTTAGCAAGAATGAAACATGACGCTAGTTTAGACATTTGACGTTATAATCCATGCGCTATAAGGGGGAACAACAACTAATTTTAAATCACATATTTTGTTTGGTTTTTTAGCATATATCTATTCTTAAATGAAAATTTTAAAATGCAATGTTGATTAATTTTCACTCTAGACAATTTGTACACGATTTTACCGGACAACCCTCGTAAGATGCTTTAGGGTAGGTCATTTTCTTTGCTTGCGTGACATGCTACATGTATATTGATTTGAAGGCCTGCGTTCATGGCACATAATGAACGGGTCAATAAACAAGTGAAGATATAATTCGCTCAAAAGCGTTAATTTAAATTTTAGAAGTCACGAACTCTGCCTTAGGAAATAAGGCTATGGGCTATTAGTTTTAGAAGGACAGTTTAAAGAAAAGAGATTTAGTAATGAAGTAAATCAAAGCATATTCAAACAAACGTACGTGTGTATATATTTACCTAAATATGTATTTTTTTTATTAAGAGTGTTGGAAGTTCAGGCATTCATAACACCACAACACTTACCGTCACAGTAGCTCAGTCGGTAGAGCGCTCGCTTCGTGATCACAAGGTCTTGGGTTCGAACCTTGGTCGCAACTGACATAAGTCGATAAAAAAAAAAATAGGTAACATCTGTTCCTTTGCCAAGCGCTCGGCACTTTGAAGTGAAAATTGTGGGTCTTTCGGGTGAGTCCTTAAAAGCCGAGGCCCTGTGTCATGGTAGTTGTTGCCACAACAAAGAACCCTCACTGCTTAATGGCCCAGAGTGCCGAGTAAAGGTCAAAATGTGAAGCCCTTCATCGTATGTGGTGAAGTCTCTATATGAGTGAAAAATTCTCGAACGGGACGTAAATCAAGATACAATCAATCAATCACGGACGGAGAAGTCAAAAGGTTAAAGTATAATGACTTTTTTATTTGACTTCACAAAGGTTCAACGCCGTTCATTGGCAACGTCTTGAACGGAAATCCAAATTCACGCTAACATTGAACAGTAACGGCTGCTCCCTCAGTTTGGTTAAATGGATAGGTGTTTGGCACTTTAACTGGAATTATATATATTCAAAGAAGTGATATTTTACCAATTTACTTTGAAATCAATAAAATTTTATGTCAACATGAGCATTAAGTTGTAAATTTTGGAAGGTCATCATGTCATAATACAAAGATGGCTGTGCAGGAAAAAATTCATAACATGCTAACATGCATTCTTCAATTTTTAGCTCTACTGGTCAGAGACCAGAAGAGCTTATGCGATAGTAAGTCCGTCGTCTGTCTGTCTATCTCTCTGTCTGTCCGTCTGTCTGTAAACAATTTTTCAAAACGCTTCTCCTCCTACAGTTTTGGTCTGATTTCAATATAACTTGGCACACAAGTGGACTACACTTTTGATTTCAATGAACGGTGTTGCCATGGTTACTAAAAATAGAAATTTCTGTGAAATTCCTTAAAAGTGCTACTTCTCCTACAGTTTTGGTCTGATTTCAGTATAACTTGGTTCACAAGTGGACTACACTAAGATACATAATTTAGTGCATCAGTTTTTGATTTCAATGAACGGTGTTGCCATGGTTACTAAAAATAGAAATTTCTGTGAAATTCCTTTAAAATGCTACTTCTCCTACAGTTTTGGTCTGATTTCAGTATAACTTGGTACACAAGTAGACTGTATAATGGTACATAATTTAGTGCATCGGTTTTTGATTTCAATGAACGATGTAGCCATGGTTACTAAAAATAGAAATTTCTGTGAAATTTCTTTAAAATGGTACTTCTCCTACAGTTTTTGTCTGATTTCAATATAACTTGGCAATCAAGTAGACAACACTAAGATACATAATTTAGTGCATCGGTTTTTGATTTCGATGAATGGTGTTGTCATGGTTACTAAAAACAGAAATTTCTGTGAAATTCCTTTAAAATGCTACTCCTCCTATAGTTTTGGTCTGATTTCAATATAACTTGGCACACAAGTAGACTACACTTTGGTACATATTTAAGTGCATCGTTTTTTTATTTCAATGAACGGTGTTGCCATTGTTACATGTACTAAAAATAGAAATTTCTGTAAAATTCCTTTAAAACGCTACTCCTGCTACAGTTTTAGTCTGCTTTTAATATAATTTGGCATACAAGAAGATTATACTAAGATACATAATTTAATGCATTGGTTTTTTGATTTCAATAAACAGTGTTGCCATGGTTACTAAAAATAGAAATTTCTGTGAAATTCTTTTAAACGTTACTCCTCCTACAGTTTTGGTCTGATTTCAATATAATTTGGCACACAATTAGAATACACTACGATACATAATATGTATTTCGGTTTTTGATTTCAGTGAATGATGTTGTCATGGTTACTAAAAATAGAAATTTATGTGAAATACTTTCAAAACGCTACTCCTCCTACAGTTTTTGTTTGATTTCAATATAACTTGGCACAGAAGTAGTCTACTTCAAGATACATAATTCTACTTATTGTTGCGTGTTGCAAAGTTTCAAATCCAAGTGCTACTTTTCCTTTGTTATACGTACAGACCAGTAGAGCTACAGTCTCATCAGAGACTTCTGGTTCAGGATAGTCGTCAGTGTTATGACATGATGAACGTCCCAGCTTTACAACGGGAGTGTGGAAGTAATAGTATCGGGTGTCCGGATTTCATTTATGATAAACAAAAGTAAAAAGTACTAAAATTTGTTTTGCATGAAATGTGGAGATAAAAAACAGTATTCAAGCTCAAAGTCCGTTTAAACAATATATACAAATCGGAAGCAGAGCCAACACGGACCTCCAAAAACATCAGAGGTGGGATCAGGTGCCATGGAGGAGTGAGCATCCCCTAGCCTGCTGACCGGTCACACCCACCGCGTGCTCCTTGTCATGATCGGGAAAAACAGAAAAATATGTAGACAATTCAGTGTGTAAATAATGGCCTAACAATTAGCATGAAAAAGATGTTATAGCTGTAAACGGCATAACTTTTTTTTAGAGGGGGGGGGGGCATTCACAATTGTGCTGCCTGTCACCGCTCTGCAACGTGCGGCAATCAACTTCCTGTGACAAAGATCTGGTATAATGATTTGTACCCGCAGAGTTTATGTCATTTCGACAGAAATCATTAATATATACAGGGTTTTTTTTAATATCGTTTGATGATATACGTACTATACTTCATCTCCGATTTTCATATCAATGAATTATAGTCTATTGGTAATTTGATACTGAAAATCAGAGTGTGCATTTATGTTGATCTTGCAAGATATGTGGGTGATTTATGAAAAAACCCATACTTTTCTTATTTGAAATAATTAAAGTTATGTCATATTAGAAATTTTTGAGCACTAAGACCCTTTTTTGCGAAAAAAAAACCTTTTAAATATATGTAATAAAATTTTGAGGCCGATTTGATAATTAACATGGATATTTACTTTTCAAACTGTGTTTTTTCTGTGTTTATTTTCATAGTAGAAATGCATGAATAACTGCTATGTAATTAAAAAAAAATGAAATTACTGGATATATAATTAGACAGGGTCATATTTATTTCAGCAGTGTCTCTGCTAAAATTTAGTTCCTAGTAAAACTTTGTAGGTCCTAAAGGGTTTCAAAGAAGCACAGGTCGAGAATATAGAGCTGGTCAATATGGGTCAGTTAGATAGCCTAGGTAAGCACGTGGACGCTACCTCTACAACATAACTAAGCATACCTAGAGAAAATACATAACTACGTGTACATTTTAATTAAGCTACAGTTAACAGCAGGAATATTTACAGTCATCAACATAAGCAATCAACAATATGAACATTTACAGTCAAGAACAGGAGCATTTACATGTACAGTAAAAATATGAGCATTTACAGTCAACAATTTGAACATTTACAGTTAACAACATAAACATTTACAGTTCATGTTGTAAAAATATACTCTTTAAAATATGAGCATTTACAGAAAACAACGAAATCGTTTACAGATAACATAAATTGATATAAACGTGAACATAGGCATGCAGTGTTAATGTGTCGTAAGTAATAACTTCAGTGTACATGGATATAAGCAGTTTATATTCTATTTTGAATTCAAATTTTAAAATTGAAATTTAACTTTCAATTTTATCCATCGCAGGAAATTATCCATTCCATTGGCATATGTGTGGTGACGTCACAAACTCTTATATCCGGGGTAGTGTTATCCGGGATTCTAATGCACGTTGTGTTACAGTTCATGCTACAAATGGGGCCGTGGTGAGTGTTATATAATACAAATGTATAGCAATTCTAAGTGAAGAGGTAACAATATGGGCGAACAAGGCGAGAAAAATGCCCATGATGAGACAAATTTGAAAAGTGAAAAATTAAATGTCAATTATAACAATATTTTCATAAATGTTTCATTTAACATGAATATACGCATTGTGTGAAATCTTCATAATTTGCAACATTCTATCAAAGATTGATAATTGATCATTTTATCATACTAAAAGACATTTTTCCTATATATAATTATGGAACTTTGCTTCATTTTTTGAAAATATTTTTCACACTTTGCGTAAAAACACTTTTGTTAACAAAAATATGGAGAAAGACCAACAGTACCTTAATACTTTTATAACAAAACTTTCGTATTTTTCCGGGAAATATTTGATGTCCATTTATCCAATGGTTATATCACAAACAAGATATGAATACCAGAACCTGCGAATTAGTATTCTTATTGTTAACGCGTTAATCTCGGAGAAACTCAGGAGTTTAAATGCTTAGGTTCAAAACAAAGAATATTTGTTATTTTTTGAAACCGTAGAACAATTTTGCCGAGAAAATTTACGCAGAAAGATTTTGTTGGTCATAATTCATACCTATCAATAATAAGAACTTTGCTCTGGATGCATAGTTCATAATCAATATATTTTTATACACTCGAAGTTTAATGCATTTCCAACCCCTAGTTCCCCCATCTTCTTTAATTTTAGAAGAAGAAAAATGTCTTGTTTTGAGGTTTATAAAAGTAAGTATCAGTCAAGGTCAGTGTTTCATAACAAGAACAAAAGAGACATATCCCTTGAAGAAATAAATGAAATCATAGTTAGTAACAAATGAAATCTTATATTTGTGTGAACATTCATACATGACCACAAACACATATATTTGGCTGATTAGAACTATGACCCAAATGAAATCATCTAAAATATATTGTCCCTTCGGACATACATGTATATCGGTTTGACTTATTTGTCCTTCACGGCTGACCACTTATTTTAGATACCAGATATATCGGATTACAAAATTTTATTTGTTATTTTATTTAAAGTTAATGTACACTTGAAGTAATAGCTCTACAATTTGCATCAATCGCATAAAGTATCAATTATTTCTGTATGAAAAATCATGCACATTCCAAAGAGCGCAAAATTAATCATTTCATCATACTATAAACTTTTTTCCATATACATGTAAGTGGGTTTTTGCACCATGAAAGTATATTTTTGACTTTGCGTAAAACACTTTATTTAGTTCGCAAAAACATGGAAAAAGACCAACTCTATTTCAAAAATATACTTTTAAGACACCCTCGTATAATTCCACGAAATAGTTGATGTCCCTTTATTCAATGGTCATATCACAAACAAGATCGGAATGCCGGTATCTGTGTATGAGTGTTCTATTGGTTAACATATTAGTCTCAACGTTTTTTGCCTCAAACCCCATAGAATACCCCATTTTTTTTTAAAACCTTGGAACAATTTTTGCTGAAAAAATCTTCCGCGCCGCGGAAAGATTTTGCTTGTCATAATTTCAAACTTTTCAATAATAAAAACTTTGCTGTAGATACTTGGTTCAAAATTGAATTTGAATTTTATTTACTAAAAGCTTACAGCATTTCCTACACCTAATCTCCCCATTTTCTTTAATATGATCAAACAATGTTAAAAGAAGAAAAATAATCTTGTTATGAAATTGCAAATTTATTAATAAAGGTCAGTGTTTCATATCAAGAACAAAAATGAGATCTCCCTTTTAGAGATGAAATGGAACTACTGTTTTTAATAGCAAATAAAAATCATTAATTTGTATGGCATTCATATATAACCAGACAAATATATTTGGCTGATTAGAATTCAAACGAATTCATCTAAAATGTATTATCCCTTCAGGTATATGACTTATTTGTTCTTCACGGTTGATTTTTCTTAGATGCTGGATAAACTTTTAATAATGTAAATTTGATAATTACCTAAGGACATTTTAAATAGTGAAAAATCTTCACAATAATCCCCCTAACCATTAATTCAATAATTCAATGGACATCCGTCTTATTGTACATTTATGAATAATCTTTTGATCATGACTTGAAACAGTCGGATGTCACGTTGTTTCTATTTATTTGTGTTAGTCAATTTCTAGATCTGTAGAGAAAAAAAACATACCCAAGCAAACTGTCGCTTGTTTAATCACGTTTAATTTGAATTCTCATCCATGACATTAACTGCACATACCTACTAATCATCCCAAGAAAGATAACAATTACAATATCTTTTTTTTCTTTTTTGTTTTTAATTTGATTTTATAAAAATCATAAAATTACGGATTTATTGTGAAAATTTTCTGATTTGTATATAAAATACTGTGCATTAAAAGGAGGTTTAAAATCCCGGAGTCATGTCAATATTTATATTTGTAGATTTTTTTCAAAGCTATAAATATAGAAAAATACTTTCTTCCATAACAAATATGTATCTCCGAAATTTGTCAAAGAGGTGAGAGTCTTGATTCATATATATATATATATATATATATATATATATATATATATATATATATATATATATATATATATATATATATATATATATATATATATATATATATATAAAATGTTTTAATTTGAGCATTAACGTAAGTCTTTCGTCAATTCAGAACTCCGATCCAGTTTTAAATCCCGTTGAGAAATATTAAATCTTTCATAAATGAATATCAAAACTTATTTGAATTTGACTTGTTTTAAACAGAGTTTCAGAATATATGAGAGCCATAATTGTAACATTTCAGTCAAATTCTGCTCAATCTACGCCAGTTTAAACACACCTTAATTTTCAGCTAATACTGAACACAAGTAAATTGTATATTTGAAGACATCATCACAACGTCACGGGTCCTGAGTCCACTTCTTGGAACCCCTGGCAAACTTTATTCGTTTTATTTTTGGTCTGACTTCAGTGACGTCTTACGGAAAATTACAATTCCTGATTGTTTTATCCTACCTATTGACCAAATATAGTAAGCATTTTCGTGACAAACAACAAGTGCAATAAGGTGTCAAGTTTGTCAGGGTCCCTAGGCCATGAGCGGACTTGGGATCTCTGACGTTATAAGGAAGATTTGAAGAAATAAAAATAAAAAGTAAAAATGTACGGTTATTGTTCTACAGGTAGATATTTATGTCTGTTTTCAGGTGGAGAATAATGTCTGTTTTAATGCTGTGGGACATGGGTTCTTTCTAGAGGAAGGTGGAGAGGTGTATACAGTCTTTAGCGGCAACCTCGGAGCTGGAACTACCCGCACAAATTCACTGACCAAAACAGACATGTAAATATTTTTTGTAGTGTTTGTATTTGATAAAACCATAATATCGGTCCATGTACATTGACAAACTAAATGTCTAAAGCAAAAAATGTATAATTTTAATTATCTAATTTCATTCGCAAATTTTACTACCAGGAAAGAATATGTTTTTGACACACCATAATACTGGAGCGTAACCTTGCATGCTGATTCCTTGTTAACTCTGAACAACTTATTATATTACACAATAATCGTAAAGGTTAAACGATCAGTTCTTGCTTATTTTATAACTTAGAAAATAAGTTAAAAAATATATTTGTAGAATGCCTTCCACCTTTTGGATTACGAATCCCAAAACAACTATGAGAAATAATGTGGCTGCTGGAAGTGACGTAAGTTCACAAGTGAAATTTGTGGAGATAACGAACAGTATTCAAGCTCAAAAGTCCATTATATACAATACAAATTTAGGAGCAGAGCAAACATGGACCTCTAAAACATAAAAGTGATATCAGGTGCCATGAAGGAGTGAGCATCCCCTGCCGACCGGTCACACCCGCCGTGTGCTCCTTGTCATGATCGGGAAATAACGGAAAAATCCGTCGACAATTCAGTGTGTTAATAATGGCCTAACAATTAGTATGAAAAACGTCAGTCAGCATTTATTAATTTAACGAGGTTGGATCCTGATATTTAAAGTCTTAAACTTTTTTTGTCAAGTATATTTTTAGTTTCTACACATATGGCTTAATTAAAAATCAGAACAAAAATGGGGGTCAATATGCTTCTTTTGGCACTACAGTACATTTAATATGACCTTTTTGCACTGAAATTTTTGTCTTAATCAAAAATCACATCTTCGACCTTTTCCCTCCAATGTTTTTATCCAAATAGATCATGGGACAAAATAAACTATTAGCCTATTTGAAAAAAAGACACATTTAAATTGCGACTAAGAAAAAGTTTCAAATTGCTTCGCATAATCAATTATTTGACCTTTCTGCACTCAGAAAATGTGATTTTTCTGGCATTAAAAATTTAACAAGCAGGAAAATTATTTTAAAGTCTTAAACTTTTGCTGAATTTAAGTAGATTGATCAAAGTAATCTTATATATTCAGAAAAGAAAAACAAAAAGTGGGGGTCTATGATGTAAATTTTTAGATATTACTAAAAAAGTGTTAATTTTATGTTAAAATTGACTCAATTTTTTCCCGGACTTTCAGAATATATTTACTATATTTGTCACAATATAATGAAAGAATTCATAAGAAATAATTTAATAGATATTTCAGAACCAGAATAAAACATTTCAGTGCAAAAAACAGCTCTGTGTGCAACCAGCATGGAAAAATAGGAATTTAAACTTTACAGTACTGTACATACTTTAAAAGGGAAAAATTGATCATTTTCTTCTAAAAAAAAACCTTACGCCACAAAATATAGTTCCTGGCTTAATCCTATTTGAATGGAATTTAATCACGTTTTTTTCATTGGTTATAGTTTAATTTGCATTGTAGAATCCAAATTTAGTGTTAGAACTTAAAAATGATGCAGAATATTAGAAATAAAGGTCCAGACCAAAATCTGCTCAAAGGCTCAGGATCGAACCTCCTTAAAGAAAACATGTGTTTTCTATTGAGTTTTAAAAAAAATATATAAAAATTGCCTCGATTTTCAAAAGGATCCAAAAAAAGATGATTACATTTTTTTTTTTTAAATCTACTCTTGCTTTTCGGCTCAAAGAGTACTCTGAGTCCGTCTGTCCGTCTTTGTGTCATGTATCAAGTGCTATTTGGTGTTTGTAAACTTTACAATATTTTTTTTCTGAAAAACCTCTCGGCCAATCCCACTAAAACTGCCGCAAAAGGTGAAGGCAACTTAGCTTTGTTCAAATGAAAGCATGCCTTTTTTATAGGGGAGAGTCTAGAAATAGTGAAGAAGCATTAGGTGAGAAAAAAGAATAAGTGAATTCTTCCATAATTAGTGTATTTTCAATTTTTTGTAAATCGTAGCCCAGGAACTAGAATATATTCACGATATGGAATCAAAATTATTAGTGTAGTATAGTTAATTACATAGGAATTCTCTTTTAAATATTCTTTTCAAGATCTAGAACTGCAGGGACACAAAGGTCATATCAGTACTGTGATTTCATCATTTTCAATGCAAGGTCGACATGGAATACTTACTTCTCCATGGCATCTGATCCCACCTCTGATGTTCTCATACATGTAGGTCCGTGTTTGCTTTGCTGAAATTAGTGTTAATTGGCCTTTTGAACATAATTTCTGTTCGATGTCTCCCCCATTTAATTCTGAAGAAAAGCAGAGCTATGATTAAGACAAATGTAAGCGTCAGTTACGTTTATGCGTTCTATTTGTATCACATGAGGCAAAGAATTGTCCGTGATTGGGGACAAAATACATGTATAAAAAATATATTCACGAGGTCATTATGGCGGCAGTTTACAAAATAGTCGATAACCCTCAGTGTATATTAATCACGAGAATTGATTTGGTGACGAAAATTATATTTTTAATCAGGAGAAAATGGTGAGGCGTTTAGGTCTAGGTGCCATTTGTACCTTCAGTTCAATCGTTTTACAAAGTATTCATATTTATTTTCAGTACGCTGGAATCTGGTACATATTTCCTGATGAACCTATCGGAGCTTCCTACGGAGTTGTGAAAACAATGCAGAAAGACGAGGCTAAACGAACTCCTATAAAAGAGTTCACCAATAATGTCGTCCACTCCAACCGTGTGGTAAATAAGTGAATTCACTCATGTATTAACCTTTTAGATCATTATTTCTAGTAATAAATAACTGCTTTGTTGAGTTATAAGGTGATTGGAGCATGTTATTTTAAAGGTATACGACTACACATCATGACTTAAGGACATTGGCAAGGTTCCTGGTTATTGTATAGAATTTTTCAAGAACTTTTGGGAAGGTTTAAATGTGCTAAAAAGGCTATATTCTGGATCGTTTTACCTACTAATCCAGCATTCTTTTTTAGATTTTGTCAAATTAGTGTTTTTACAATTCTTAATGCATTTCCTATGTAAAATGTTGATAAAAGGGACCTACATAAATTTTCACCATAATATTTCTTCAAAACCCATTTATTTCATACAGTTTTTGTATTGTATACATTATTGTAACTTCATTTCCTATGACTTCTAGATATTTTGGTTGAAAATGTATATATAGAAAAAAGACATGGACATACCGGCACCGATCATCATTTTTGAGTTGCGTCCCTTAACAGCTAAAATTGGTCAAGTGACTGGTTGATTGTTTTTATCATGTAATTGACTGAATTGATTGAAATACATTGTCGTAAAAATATTGGCATGGATTTATTTTTAACTTTTATTCGTAATTACTAAATGCTGATTCCTTCACACGAGCTAAGAACTGTTCTCAGTCGGCATGGTCGACCTACCTTTCAGCATATGTCACATCTTTGCCCTTCCCAGCATACTGAGCATAACTATGGTAAATGACGACCTGTTTGCTCTTTGTCCCTGAATACAATGTACAACAAAGCCATTACTACTTTTCTTTCTTGCTGTATAGAAGATTCTACCCGTTGAAGGAAGTACACGTGCTTTTGTTTACCTCTATAACATACGCTTTACTGGTTTTCACCGCTTAGAGAATTCTACACGGGAGATCACTCTCAATCACTATTTTACAAGTGAAAAAACCCATGTATTAAACCTTTTTTCTCCGGAAAGCCCTGACTTGCCAATGTCCTTAATTGTTCATGTAAGCAAACAATTTAACAAGTAGCCTGTATCCTAAGGTTTAATGTGTGTATTTTATAGTCAGTTACCCATATAAATGACTTAGAACACGAGATACAACTCATATCGGCGTGTTGGGGAATACTGTACTTTTTTATCTTAGACAGAGGTCCATTAAAAGAAAATATTAAAGAAAATTAAACAATGCAGTATTACATTAAGATAAATCTCTGTTATTGCTCTGTAATCTTTAAACGGTGTGTTTATCATCCTAGCATGGATTTACCTTCGAAAGGCGCCTAGAAAACAATACAGCCTTTGGATGGGGGACGAAATATAACCCTCTGAGTGATCCTCTGGACGAGGATTCCGCTCCACAGACGGCGGTCTTTAACAGATTGACGGGTAATGCTTTCATTTAAGTTTGTCCGATCGTCTGGCTCTGAAAATTAGCAGTGAAGTAATTGAACATCCTCACAAAATTTCACTGAATTCATAAAGTAATGTGTATATACCCATACTATTTCTTTGAAGCTTATCATTATAGCTGCATTCTAAAAAAACATATCAAATCTCAAATATATTTTCAGTAAACTTGAATAAAAGCACTAATATTGCTTTTTTTAACTGAAAATTGATTAAGTATATTTCAATATCAGGAAAAAAACTATTATACGTGTAGGTATTCAGCCATTCGGATTATGTGACTTTTCTTTTTTAATACTTGTACAGTATTTTAGTTCTTCTTTTCAATACGTAGTGTTAAAAGCATGAACCTTTCTGTTTTCAACAGTGCAATATCGAGGGAATTATTGTCCCCGAACTCTTTCTTTCTATATCATTATTATTTGTTATTATTTTATAAATTTTTGAAGGATGCATGAACATTTTTCATATGGTGTATAAAAGAAACAGACCGGAGCGATGTTCTCTCTTAGCCGCCCCATTTCTTTTTCGAAACTTGCTAAAACCTACAAAATTTGAATGATAATGTCTTGAATTGAAATTAAAATGAAACTTAAGATGTCTTAACCGTTTCAGAAAAATAAACTATATATATATATATATATATATATATATATATATATATATATATATATATATATATATATATATATATATAGTGTAACTTTTCATATGTATTTAGATATATATTTAAATCACCAGAGTATGGAGGGAACCGCATAATAGAATCAAAATTTAAGATGGGAATATATAAAGAAAAGTCAGATTTTTTCACTCGAACAGAGAAGCTTCATTTAATCAAATAAATTACATTGTATATGCCAATATCCCATTGTTTTCAAGATTTGTCTTTTAATCGTATCATAGTTCCATATGTGATCCCGTATAGTGAGCTTTTAGCTAGTTTCATGATCCCGTGGACCAGAGTGGGGCCAAAGTAGGGAGTTTTACAAGTACAGTATAGGACTGGAATTTAATTGCTGAAGTTTATAATAAGGGTTTTTTATGTTTATTTGTCACAAAGATTAGGTAGCCCAAGTGAACGTTGTAAGAAGCTTGTTTTAAAAAAGAAACAATTAAGAATAATCATTCATTTTATAATAAGGGAGAGAATAAAATAGGGTCATACTTACAACACGCAAAAACTTGACGAAACAAAGAACAAAAATGTCTACAGAATAATTTTTGCACTTTCATGGTTGTTCCTCGTTTCAGCATACAAGAATGAGAGATTTAATGCTTGGTTTGATGCCGCCAACATCCATGTGACACGGTCTTCGTAAGTAATAAATGTGTTTGAATTCGCTTATATTAGTATTGCTGCCACGAAATGCATCTGTTCAATGATAGTTTTACAACCACCAAGTACGTTACATATCGGAAATTTTTATACTTACAAGCAAACAAGATGGAATAGTATAGTAAACAAATATTTTTTTTTTTCGAAAGACAACTTGGTATTGTTTATGTTTCAAAGCAATATATATAAAGCAAGGTTTTTCTCTTTCCAAGTGAGTTTTAGCAAAATAACTGGTCAAATTCCAAATTCACTTTTTATCATACAAAGCGCAAATATCTAGATCTTTGAGTTAAAATCAAGTGTTAAACCTCGGCTCAAAAACAAAATTCGCTCGGAAAGTGAAACAAAGGATTTTGGTGTTGATGAACGCGACTCCACTGTAATATTGAGATATGTGTCTTGACTTCTGTTTAAACTATAAATTCAATCTAAATAGTAAGGTTTCAATTAAGGTCAAGATCTAGTAAACGAGTTAATTAAGTCTGTCTTTTGGTGTTAGATCCATTATGACGTCATGATTGATTTAATCTTATTTTTCCCGTATTTTACGGCTATAACAGAATTAAGTAGAAAATGACACATTTTCAGGGAATTCAATTTGAAATCATTTCAAAAGGAACCCCGTTACCTATATTCAATTTAATATCATTTTAAAGAAGAGGTCAAGAAAATATGAAAAACCGTTTAGTGAGAGACTGTAGGCAATATTGATACATTTTGCTTGTCTGAGATGAAGAAAACTCCCATTTTTATATTTGATTTTCTTTATTTTTCATTGAAAAGGGCAGTTTAAAATATGTTTTTACGTTGAGTTTATCTAAAAATTATGCCCCGATACACCTCAATTTATTTAGCTATAATTGTAATAGATTATTAAAGGAATTTGTTTCTCAAATTTGAGAAATCTGTAGGCACTCTTCATTTACTAGATCTTGACCTTAAATTAAATTTAAATGTACCATTATTTTTTCTTGCAGGTTCTCCGACAGTTTGATATCACTTGCAGTGATCAGGTTAATTAATTAGTCCTTCCTAACAAATCTCGATCAAAATGAGTGTACCTTTTTATGTCTTTCTCTATTGCTTAATGACCAATAGTTCCTGTATGATATCAGTTTAATATATGACATGAATTTTCGTAAAAGTTTTTCTCTCAGATATAATTGTAAGATTCTACAGTTGTTTTTTGTGTTTCCCGTTCTTTACAGAAGCAGCAGTGGCCCTCATTGCTTGGTCACTAACAGTGTGTTCATGGGAGAATCTATTAATCTTGGAGAACCTTCTATTATCAGAGGAAACGGCATGGTAAAAACTTACCCCCGGGCTGTACCACTTCAAATGGCGTAAGAATACGTTTGTTTACTTGGTTTTCCCATTCTTTATGATATTGGTTACAGCAAATCAGCTCAGATGCTACAGACAGATATGCAATTGAAAGATGATACATTAAAATTCAGAAAATATTAATATTCATACATCTTCCTTTCAACACAGACGATCAAAGCAGCTAGCTCTACACCAAATTGTTATTTTTTTTTTAGCAATTCTCCGATTTTTAATTGGGTAGGATGAATATTTTGCAATGAATGAAACATTGTCTGTACTTAACACTTCTGTATTTCTTGGCCTATAAAAAGAAATTTGTTTAATTGGAAGTAAATTCAGGTTCAAGGTCCAGTCAACGTAAACATGGTGTGACACCTTGGTCATGTTTTAAACATGGATAATCCATTTGAAAATATTCTTTAATTGTGGACATCCAGAAAGCAAATATCTTGTATGATTATAATAGGTAGTTAGGTAGCCTTCTTGTTCACATTTGGCAAGTCAATTTCTTCTTGGTTCAGATCTCACTATAGTGTTTGATACTTTTCAGTGTTTATTGCTTTCAACATTCCAGTCAGCCAAGATGAGCTTGATCTAGACTACCTCTACTGGATTCCTTAACTTCACAAAAATCCTTACAAACAAATATACATTGCCGGGTCCAGCAAATGCTCTAGACCAAGCCCCTATCTTTACTCCTTACAAAAATATTAACTGATGTTGAGGTGAAACTACAGACATACTGTGCTATAATTAATATAATGTGTGTGTAAATCAGATGTAGCTTCTCAAAAAAAAAAATCCAAAGGACTTTCAGATATACTAGTATGTTTGACACGATGACCTTTATAAAATGCCTGAACTGAAATGCTAATAGCAAATATCTTTAAACTTATTTTAAATCTTTAATGGTGCTATAAAGCAGAAAACGCATGCGTTCCTTCGAACACTTTTATTTGAACCTAGGCACTAAGCAACTTTATGCATGATGGCAATAGGATATAAGCCTTTATCAAACAGGGAACTTTGTGTTTCTAGGACGCAGACTTAGGGTTGAATCAAAAAATATATTTTATTTAAATCCTTAAGCATTTTCTGGAGTTTCGAGCATCTAAGACTCTTCCTGCAAAATAATGTTGAATAAAGCTTTCTGTTAAATTACAAATTCGATTTCAAATGGGTTTTAAGTCTGAAATGGAACCGAGTTACTCACACTCTGATAAAACGTATGATACTCTCTGTACAACTATAGCCATAAGACCCTTTGGTCTCGTTATCATAAACATGGTAAACTATATTTCATTTTGAGATGCATTCTTAGTGATTTAAATTGACACTTTTGGATTGTCTTTTCAGAAACCAGCCCCGTCAAGGTTTCGTATTTTATGACAGAGCAATCAGTCTGGAGGATTCCTGGTTTGGTAACTATGCTAGTACAGATGACTACAATGCCGGGGCTCTTGGTTTTCAAAGAAACAACATGAAACTGGCGGCTAGTGGAGCATTTACCAAAGGGCTTCTATGGGGGTTTAGTGATGTAAGAAAATGAATTGAAATTTCATACTTACTAGAGTCCTCGGAAAATGACGGTTTCTGAGAGTTCATCATGATCTTAATCATCTGTGAATAAGATTTATTAGAAAAGGTTATCTCTGCAGACTGAGTGCTATCCCTTTCTGTTTCAATTGACGTATGCACAAAATAATCATCGTTGATGTTCTGCAAGGTTGCTGCTAAAACAAGCAATGGCTTGGAAGTTTACAAAGGCCTGTCATGTTACGTGTGTAGAAAAAAATCTTGGTTTAGGTGAATTTGTTATAAGCATACAAAATATGATTAATTCTTTGCAAATAGCTCAATATATGGGGAAAATGTATGTTAATAGAGATTTTCGGACGAAAATTTTTAAGGGCATTCAAGTACATTATAAAAATAATACATGAGTTTTAGGGTAACATGTGAAATTGGAACAATTTTCGTGTAACCATAATAAATCATGTAAAAGGTATTCGTTATACTGAATGTATTAAGAATGCATTTAACGGAAAACATCATGGAGAATCTTGAGCCCAAACATTCTGCGTAGTTAACAATTTTTATACCGTTACCCATCGGGATGCATCTCAACCGTTAGTATGTAATGTTACCCGGAGGGCGTGGTTTATGCACATTGTACGGTCATAGTACATTTTAATATAAATACTTTTAAACCAATCAAATTTGACTATTTAACATGGATGTATAACAATATTGTATGTGCCTAAAGATCTTAATTTAAAATAATGGAAATAGTAAAATAAAAGATAAAACGAAACAATACAACACATCTTCAACCCCGAAATCAAAGCCCTATGAACCAATTTTTTTTATATCAAACCAAAAAAAGGTTGACACCACAAAAATGTATTATTAGTATATCAATTGATTTTACATTTGGTGGACATGAATTCTGTGGTATATTCATGTCAAAAAAGGAAAGAAAATTTAAATTTGGGGATATACAACATAAAATATTTAGAGAAACAGATATTTTGAATATCATTGTCTTTACCACCCTTTAACAGGGGGAAGTGACAAAAACAATGAAAATTAATGATATTCCAAAATCCTATATTATTCCTAGATATCAAGCAGTTGAACCGTTATCATTAACGTTTTAGCCCTTTCAAAATTGTAAAACTCATGCACTGTGGCCAGGGTTTAGGTTTCAAGGTTCGAATAAGTTGATCATGTATTAAAATGCATTGCATCTTACAGAACATCTTTTACTCATAAATATCAAGTTGACAAACTGTGTGCGTGATTATAAAAAGTATCAAAATTATGAAATTCTCTATTGGTTTTATAGGTCAGACCCCAAGGTGGGACCTACTGTCTTATGTTGAAAATACACTACATCTTTAAAAAAAAGTATTCCATACTAATGGCTTTTAAGTAGGTTTTAAACATAAAACCCTCCACTTAAATTGTACACGTAAAATTCATAGTCCCCAATCTAGGATTGCCACATACTGGACATTTTGAGGTAATAATTAACAGCCATAAAAAGGGAATCAACTATGAGGTTTTTCACTTTTTCATTTTTAGGCTTCTGAAGGGAATCGTGTGTTCGATGGTAATTCCACTGACCTCGGTTTCACGGCGTTTGACGGCGACGACGTAGTTGTCATAAACGACCTTGATGGATCAACCACAGGCACCAAAGGAAATTCTGTGGTAAAACCAATACCGTTCCACATGACTGAACAATGTGAAGAGGTTGATAATTGGAAAATGGCGATTTGTCCGCATGCATTTGGCCAAGTTTGTATACTTAAATCTTTCAGACTTTTCTCTCTTTCAACTACCGTATAAGCAGAATTTTAAGCGGGGATTCAATTTTGGCATTATTAGCAAGGATGTTGAGATCCCTTAAATTGAATATTGATAACAATTAATTGCGTATCAGTAGTAAAAGCTTCTTTTGTTTGGCATTATAAACTCGGTAACATTACTTCTCGCTATAAATATATATCTATTTTAAGGATAAATCACTAAATTTCCGTCTCGCTAAAAATCCTACTTATATGGTATTTCATCATTTTATGCCTTAAGTATAAATATGGTGCAGATGAATTCGAATGATGTACGAGGGTTGTTAGAAAAGTTCGCGGACACGTTGATTTACGGAAAATATGTTGTAAACTTAAAAGAATGACGTATGTCTCGTACATTTGGCAATTACACATTTCAGGTAAGAGCCACTTATGAAGGAATTGTGACTGACGAGATTACAGTCTCGCGAGATGATGATGCCGATGATCCCATCGTGGGAGACAAAAGGTCATATGCCCCTTTCCTGACAATCCTTGGAGGGACACATAGCTACCTAGTCCGCTCCAACGCAAAGAAAGCGCCAGGATGGTGGAAATTTCAGTACCTTGGCGTGTCAAAGTAAATGACCATAAAAAATGAATAAATGTTATCTACAGTAAATTGTGAATTTCTGAGTTATCTGAAGTCAAGTAGTTCTAGACTGGTCAAATATTTCTGAATGCAGCCATTTTCATTGTAGTAATTTTTAATTCATGCTTTGACCCAGAGCCAAAAGTACATATTTTAAATGAAGTAAAAGTGAATGGAAATGTTTAGATTTTTAATTCTATTTCAGATCCAATTTTGCAACTTTAGCTGTGTGTATTCCACAAAAATCGACAGCGAGGCCATCTATGTATAATCTGGAGACTGACAAATGGGAAAAGGGTGTAGCAGTGTCATCGTATGAAGACTTTAAGAACGGGACATCCTTCAGGGACTATTACGTAGACACAGAAGTAGGGTGTGTAAATTATTTATCTAAAACATACATAAGTAACAATTTTAGTGTACGTGGTGCTCTGAGAGTTTTAAAATACGTTACCAGTAAGTCATCTTTTGTTAAGAGTTGTGAATGTCATGCAAAACATTAATATGTAACGATTTAACTACATGTAGTTTTTTTAATATTTTAGATGAAAGAATTATTTAATTAATATGGAACAATTTAAGTGCATAGAGTTTTCTGATGAAATAAAAATATGCGAGTCTTTTTTGTTAAGAGTTGTGTTTGTGAATGCCATGCACATCCGTGAACAGCTAGATACGGACAGAGGAAACTGCTTAGACGACAAGTGCCCGTATGTATACATTTCCAATAGAGATGGCGACCGAACAGACATGGACTGCTCTAGCCGATTTTATGCCAAATACAAAAAAGACCAAGTCCAAGTGAGTACTTTTTTTACCTTAACAGGATCTTTACAAATGTATTTTTTAACCCTTTTTAAGTTTAAATATTTTTTAAAGTTTTTTGTAAGCTAGATATACATTAGGGCGACAATGCTTTAAAAATGGAATTCTGTAATTCTTTTAAATGATAATCTTGTGAATCTTGTTAATGGAATCTTTAGCCTTCACGTAAAAAGAGAGAAACCATAGTCACTAATGACAAATTCCCCGCCACACAAGGCAGCCCACCAACAGTAAGTATAAAGCATGTATTCATGTCTATATAAAGTGTATATTGAATATAATGAAACTTTTATTCATAAACGGATCCTTACTTAAAAGTAATTAAATTTCTAGCAATATTATAGTGGACCTACGTTCTTAATATTGTTTATGGTCAAATAAGAAAATATTTTAAAATAGTTACATTTCCAAATATTTTCCTTAAGAATCTTTGCAAATTAGAAAAAGTTCACGTTCTAATGAACTACCATGGGATGAGTAAGAATATTTCCATTGTGACGTAATTGAAGTAAACAAATGTGCAAACTTTTTTTTCAAAAATGATCGTTGAATAACAAAAATAAGTGGCAAGTCATCAGAAAAATAATGTAAATATAAGATATGAATTTATCATCCAAACTCACGCGCTTCGTGAAATATGTCGGCGTGAAGCGTCGTAATTCATGTCCTCGTGAATTTTCAAAAATTAAATTCATTTCTTAAATAAAGATTCAAAAAAATTGTGATTAATGTATATTTACAAGAGAAAGAAAACAGAATAATCACAAGGATTTCTCTCCAGTAAATTTCAATTGTAGAAATGATTTTAGTAATGTTTTCGTTGATTAATAGAAAATCCTTATAATTTTGTTTTATACTCATATAATTTACAATGGTGGTGGGGGTGTTAAGGGCTGTCCTCTCATCCCTACCACCTTTTTACCACGAATAATACTATTCTAATTACTAAGGAAATGGTAAGTAAAAGACCTCTTACTCCCTTTGATTTCTTTGTTGGTCAGTATATAATGTATAATGTATATAAAATTCCTATTATGTAATCAGTCTGGTCGAACCCCCGAACGGGGGTAAACGGAAATGGGAAATCCATACCCCCAAACGGGGGTACGAGCATGCGCAGATGCTTAAAAATGTGCATATTTCACGCAAAAAGAAGGGGTTTACAAAAATCGCCGGTGCAAAGTAACGGATTATTTGGCAAATGTAAAACCACTCGGAAATGATAGATTAAAGGTGTTTTTAGAGTTTGTATTTTACAAAAAATACAACTTTATTGTACAAATCGGGATTTATTCACTGGCAAAGTTGGCGATCTTTTGCTCCTTGACCTGCAGATAATTAAGATAAAATATTTGATAAACAGACATAAGCAACTAATATTAAATTGAAATTATAAAAAAAAATGTATTATTCTACCATATATCTTTTATTTTCATAGTAAAATGCGAGAAAAAAAATGGTGCTAATATCGATTTATTTATGATCGTGGGTTTCAGTCCGCGTTTCCTCTGACTAGCAATCGACGGTCTTTATTATCGATAATCATGCCCAGGAAGTGTAACAAAAATAAATATAAGAATATAATTCAAATGGAATCTATCGTATTTATTGTCTTTTATATTCTATAAGAATTAAAAAAAAATGTTTGACAACTTGTTGTTGTAGTTTTTTTTTCATAAATACGATTGTTTGGGGGAAAACACGATTATATTTAATTTTATTTAAATCTAGATTCTAAATTAATATTTTCCTCATTCTTAGAATATTTTTCCTTGTGTTTTTAATTCAAAATCCTAATTGAGACGTCCTACAAAAATTAATAAATAATTTCATGAAATGAAGGAAAATATTTTATTCCTACACTATAAATTCAAACTATGGAAAACTTAACCTGTTAATTTTTTTCTGTTGATATTTTACCAAGTTCATAGCAGAAATAACATTATTATCGATCTTTTTCCTAAGATAGATGATATAGGCTAGTTTGTTTATCTTGAATACGGCAAGAGTTACTGTTCTTGCGCATTGCATGACGGGACGGAAAACCCTCGTTTGGGGGTATACCCCCGTTCGGGGGTTCGACCAGACTGGTAATTGCTTTCATACGTTTAAGAAATAATCTTTTGTTTTTCAGAACTGGGGAGCAGGATCTACTGCAGCCTAAAAGCTTCCTGACATGATCAATGTTTCTTTTAAAAAAAATTTTGTTTTCTACGAAATAAATGTTTTATCATGCTCTATTTTTACAAATGTATGTGAAAGAATAATATGAAGCTGACCAAGCAATTTAATAACAATTTTATTTTAAGTGTCTGAGAAACATCTCAATTCTTAAGCATTCTTTTTTTAATCTTCAAAGCTATAATTCATTATGACATGAAATGACCAGCAAATTTCCTAGAAAATTTAAAGAAATTAACTAAGTTCATGTCGCAATTATTCAATATTTTTCCACATCATGATTTCATTTTTGGCCCCTGGATTAGGTAATTATTCGTTACATGTTTATACCAAATTCATTTTTGTAGTATCATTAAACCACTGCAGTTAAGTTTATCTTGATTTTAAAAAGAACACTCTTCTAACATTTAAGCATTGAGTGTTGGTGTTGTCGTGCAGGATTTATAGTCATCGATGTTTTTGTTTACTATGAGAAATGTAAGACTCAAAAAAATGAATCTTTGATTTCCTTAGTTTAATCTTGGGTCATCCCCTTTAATGATTGTTCAAGTAGTGTAAGCGTGGTGCGTTGATGAAACAAGGATATTAAGTCTAGTTTGAAGTCATCCTTTCGCAAGTTCTATAATCGATAAAATGACATCAGCAAATACAATCTATCATTAGGTCAAATACAGACTGACGTTTTTCATACTAATTGTTAGGCTATTTACACACTGAAATTTCTACGGATTATCCCGTTTACCCGATCATGACAAGGAACACACAGCGGGTTTGACCAGTCGACAGGGGATGCATACCCTCTATGGCACCTGATCCCATCTCTTATATTTTTGGAAGTCCCTGTTTGCTCTGCTCCTGATTTTATAGTTTGAATGGACTTATGAGCTTGAATACTGTTAGTTATCTCCATATTTCATTCACCAGGAAGGTCACGTGCAGGTGAATATAACATAGTATTATTTCTACAATGTTGGATCTCAGCCAATCAGGGAGATAGGAATTATTCTATCATATAATAAGATTGTTTATGTATCTTTAAAGCCGTTGAAAATCTTCAACTCTAGATAATGTAATATTATATTTTCAGGGTTATGGTCACATGCTATACACAATGTTTTATAATGTATAAGAATACTAGAATAATGTAACAGAAAACATCTAATACCTGAACTTTGTTTACTTCAGCCTTGCTGCTGAACCTTACAGGGGATCGACTGATAAGTAAAAAGGCATACAGAAAAAAAAAACGAAGCAAAATTTGATTGGTCGGTGTTTAGCTTTTTAAGTGTGCAAAATTCCTAATAACGTATATTATCCTATATCAAAACAATATTTTTTACAATAATTATACCCAAGTCATATTATCAGTCGTTGAATTATCTTGGGAGAGGTTTGTTTTTATAGTTATTAAACGTCACCGTTGGGAATATATGTACAGAAAAATTTAAAAGAATTGACCAGGTTAAACAGAAGGAAATTAAATTTATGTATTTACTATTTATATATGATGTTAAACTATAAATTCACCTATTATCTAATACTCTTCTGAATATACGGTCTGTACATAGTATAACTTCGAAACGGAAAAAAAAAAACATCTTTGCGCACATAGGCCACGTGTACAGCATCTTCACGTGCTTGTTTAAGAATCTTTGAATTAATCCCCTTAGTTAATAAATAAAATTACAATACTTATATTTTTTAACATTGTTAATTATATTTACTTCTAAGTGTATATCCTAGAAAAGAATTGAGCTTTAAAAAAATTAAAATTATAAAATTTGCTCAATTTTAGATTGCATTTATCATTTAAATTCATTCTTTGTCAAAAAACATTTCAAACTATAACGTATAAGTTAAGGCGACTATCCTTTTAAAAAACGTTAAATCATTGGTGCCACTGGATTTATTGTAGCTCATTTTAGAGTAAAATCTTTGCAACGTGTTGTTTAAAACACGTATTATTATTGATCAACCAAGTAGAGAGCCTAACATAAACGCACTGTCAGTGGTATGGGTCATCACATTTTCTTCTTTCTTGTTACATACTTTTTGGTTCCAAGCTATAACGAAGAAATGACCTGTGAAAGAAGTATGCAGATATGAAAAGAAGACCAGAAGAGTATTATCAAAATCAAACTTTTTTTCTCAAGTTGTGATTAAAATGTGATGATATCCTTCGACCACTCTTCGAATGCTGATTATTCAGGGAATAAAAACACAGGTTAAAAACAAGTAAAATTGATGCAAAGCATCAAATTGGCGCAAACAAAATTTAGCATTTCAAAAAGTACTATCACAATTTTACAAGCATCCATGCAAGGAAAGCATAAGATATTCAAAGCTGAAAGAGTGATCATTTTCATTTCAGACTGTCTTCAAAGCAAAATAAATAATTTAAAAAAAAAATAAAATAAATAGAAATTTTAGTTCATTTGCTGATCAAATTGATTCACCGATGTAATAAAATCAATGATAATTGATAAGAATTTACTGTCATCAAAATTAAAATGTAGGCCTATTTTTATATTCAGATCTCAAGATGAACCACGTGCTGATACCCTGGATTTTTGTCACGTGATAATGCCTATGATTTCTGCAGAGAAGGCTATGCTGCACGGCGAGGTGCAAAATGTAGAAAAAAAATCATTGTGTAATTCGCAGCTGTAGCATATTCAGAACAAATTTACTAGTTGAACAACTTTTCAATTTTCATTCACCGTGCACTTGTATCACTTCATTATTATTCAAAAAATCATAACGATTTAAAATTGCTTTCATATCTTACACACTCCTAGGTTGGGGAGTACCTATTGTAAACTCTTTTTATATAATAATAAATTATCAATTATCTGATGAGAATTGATAATGAAATTGAAACATAATAACAACGATTAAGACTTAGTTTCAAGCAAGTTTTTAAAATATTTTACTCGTGATTTTATACATGTTATCATTTAAAAATTATTTTACTGAACTTATAAAGATATAACGCCTCATTCCCCCATGTGCACTTTCTAACACAACCACCGCTGCTGCGGCCGATAACGATCTCTAAGAAAACAAACCATTTAAATTCCATTCTAAAAATAGCTACGATTTTAGATGAGCACATAATGTTATCAGGAATCTATATTGCAGACATAGATTTGCACCTTAAAAAACACCCTTCAATACCTGTTTGTTATGTAATCTTTGAATAGTTTAATTTTTAAAAACTTTTTATTTCCTTCTTATTTCGATGAAGCACGCTCAATCGTAATTACTCGGCCATTTTCGGAAAAGGAATGGAAGCACGCTGTTGTTATATTTTAGCTCACGGGACGTAAACAATTGCAATTATCGCACGGAATCTGTAGGGGAAGACATATGCGAACGTTTCACTAAAAAAAATTGAGGCTTGACAAATATACAGATTTCCCCCTGTTTTCGCATACAAGTCTAATGAGCTCGCTGTGCTCGCTATTGATATCTACAATTATATTTTTATAGATTCTATTTCCAATATTAATGCATGTATTGAAAATATCATAGAATTAAAAAGTTTGAAAAATCTAAAATCTTTTTTTTTTTTTTTTTTTATTATGACTTCTTCTTAAATGTTTTAGCTTTTCATTTGTAAAAAAAAGGTCTCAATCAAATATGCTTTGCGGAAACTTCGATTGAATGAGGCCTAGTGATTTTGGAGAAACTTTAATGAGGCTTTGCCTCAGATGAACTGTTAACCTAGACGACTCACCTGCCCCCAGAATGTGACCACCTGGCTGCGGTAGATAAATTACTTCATCGGAGAGACATGAAAATATATTGAAGGCCTATAAAATCACATAAATGTCGAGATACATGTATCACTAAAATGTCATCTGTACAGATCTTTTGAATATAGAACTGAATATAAATAAACTCTTTTACAGCTATTTGTTAAAACGAGGTGAAATCTAAGAATAAACATGCATAGAGAAAATCCATCATAATATGATTGTTTTCAATCAACCCCCGATTGTAAAAAATTGTGGTGGGACTTTCAGTAAAACTTATTAAGATATCCTAGAGTTTGAGATATAAACGTTAAAAATTCGTATTCATACACTGTAACAAGATTCGAACCATCAACAAACCCCGACAAAAACCTGGTATTCAAAATATCATTGTTCTGGATAATAATGTCTTCTTATGGCAGATCGATCTGCATTTTGAGAAAAAAAAATATTTACCTGGTACAAACAGAATCTGGTCTCTGTTGTATATGTAGGCTGCGGTTGTTGTAGGAAAAGATAACCACTGCTTATACCTCTGAAGGCTTTCCAAAAAAATTGTGCTAGTATATATAAAACAAAAGGAAATCTTAATTTTCCGATTTTTTTAACTGCATTGGATACATTTGTTTTACAAGGAAGAAAATGAAATATGAAGATAACGAACAGTAAACATGCTCAAAAGTCCATTTAAACAATACACATCTGGAGCAGAGTAAACACGGACCTCTAAAAATATCAGAGGTGGGATAAAGTGCCATAGTGGAGTAAACATTCCCCGGTCGACTGGTCATACCCGAGGTGTGCTCGGGTCATGATCGTGCAAACGGAATGGTCCTTAGACAATTCAGTTAGTAAATAATGGTCTAACAATTGGTATGAAAAACATCAGTCAGCATTCGACTTATTGACAGTTGACAAGGTCATTAAACCGACCATAGAACTTGCGAAATGATGACTTTAAGGTAGTACACAATAGATAGGCCAAATTTTTCCTCAAATTCAATTTCTTTGAAACTTTGAAATTTTGTTCTAGGACACAAAATCTCTCTTTATATATAATTTGAAAGAAATTCAACCGCACATTTTTTGTCCACATAGTTTGAAATATGGCCAATCAGCCCCCTGTAAGAAGATTGTGAAATCATACATTGCACTTTCGAATATGTGTTTTTTTTAAAATAATACTAATCTACTGCAAATTTATGTGATGCTCTTTATAAATACAACGTTTCTGTTACTAAATGTCAGTAAATTATATTGATACTGTTATATTTGAGTAAAATGTGATGAAAGAATAGAACCTACTTAGCCTAGGTATTGAAAATACACATGTAGGTATGCTACACTGCATGTTCTCTTTAGAGAAAATGTATAATTCAATTTTTACAAAAATGATTGAAATGGAACCCAGATGAAAATGTGTAAAAATGAGGAACATTGAACCAACAGTTTCAGATATTTTGGCGATTTAAAAAATATTCAGTACAAAAAATTTAAAGATTCAGTAGATGACGTCACAATATTTGACCTTTGACCTCTAAATATGACCTTGACCTTTAATGTGTGTAAAAACTGGAGACTCCTTATAAATAAGTCCAAATATTAGGTCTCTACTAAAATTGGACCAAAAGTAATCTTGCATTTAAAAACAGAATGTCATATCGCATGTAGATGACATAAACACACTCTAAATTGTAGGCTCTCGAATGACCAATATTTGGGATTCTCTAATTTTTACAAAATATGGTGAAAAACATGTCACAGCTTATTAATTTTCATACAAAGATCATTGATTATTGACATTGTAGTGGTATTCTTCTTTTTTTTCTAGTGTACTTATAAGAAATGAGTTAAAACAGATTTCATGGGTGTTTTGTACTACCTTAAATGAGACTTGATATCCCTGTTTCATCAACCCTTTTGTCAATAACTTGTCTCGTTTTTAAAAGCATTTGCAAGCAGAGCACGCCCCCGCGTACCGTACCAGCTGGGAGACACAAACCCCATATGCAGGCGATGTGGGCACATTGCCACACAAGGAAGGGAAGCTGAAGATAGAAAATTTAAAGTCATCACGTTCATCATAGAATTTTGTTGCTAGATTACCATTAACATCTTTTCCCAGCAAAAGAAAAAAACATTAAGTCTGAGTGTGGTACATGTGTAACAATTCTTAGAATATATGTAAATGATGTACATAGATGCGACTATCTACAAATTCTGCTTTGTTTAAAAAAAATGTTAATATGAAGAACATGCTCTTGTGTACTGAATCAACTGTGAGACATAAACCCCATATGCAGGCAATAATGATATATTCCTATATAAATACGGGAAGTTGATGATAGAAAAGTTGAAGTCATCTGGTTTATCATAAAGTTTAGTTGTTAGTTTGCCATATCTCTTTCTCCATTATAATATCCAAATATGAAGAAGTTGCGTCATAGTCCGTGCCGTCTTTTATCAATAATTCTAAACGTACTTTTATTTTCGGAAACTGCAGATTTTATATCGTGTAATTTTTGTAGGATGAAAATCTTCATAAATAAAATAGCCATTAATTACTTTTATGCTTCATAAAACAATTTATTGCAATTAAACTATTAAAAAAATGGCTCCATCAGAATAAAGTATACATGTAATGAGCTTTTTTTTTTTAAATTGTTACAACGGGCCTCCATACTCGTTACCATGCAGACAAAAATATCTTTTCGTCTGTAAATTCGACAAACCTCTTTCAATGCGGGTTGAAAGTTATTACAAGTATTAATTTGTGCACATTTGTGAGAGAAACTGAGTTCAGACTCTCTTGAAAACTACCGAAATCATTGGTTGCTATGTTAAAAATGTGACTTCCTTTTTAAAAAGTGTATTCACATTATTAAACTCATCAGCAGAAAATTTAATAAAATTCATAATATGTAAGGGTGCTAATTTTTGTCCAATTTATACTCATCACCTCTTGCGCTTTAAACAGCAAGCATGTCATTTGATAAGATCAAGGGTAACTACGGCTAAAAATATAGGAAATTTCACTATAATATTGATATACCAATATCATTGCGGAATTTACGTTTCCCCCAAATCTGTTTATAAGATAACCTTTTTTAAAGAAAGATATCTTTGCTAAATGACTACAAGCAAGAAATTGATGTAAATAAATTTAATTAAAAATTTCCAGATTTAAGGTAGTTTTCAGTCAAAACCTGATAGAACTGTTAGTAAAACTAATTGATCTCAAGATATCCAAGAGTTTGAGATATTAATGTTGAAATTCTAGTATATAAAAATATTGGAACCATGTAAAAAAAAAAAGTCCTCAAACACCTGATAATCAGTATGTCCATGCATACATGTATCTAAGGAGAGATATTTTACCTGGAACAGAACAAACAAAATCTGGTCCCTGTTGTAGATGTAGGCTGTGGTGGTCGTAAGTTCAGCAAACAACTGTTTATACTTCTGAAGGCTGTACTCAAAATCATCCTGTTCAGTGATATGAAACAAAAAGAAATCTTATTTTTTCCTGATTTCTTTTGTACTGCAATGAATCTATTTCTGGACACAGTATTACTGTGGCACTTCCTAATTCAACGTTGGTATAGACTGCAGTATATATATGCAAGGTACATATATGTATGTGATTACCTGCAAATTCTGCAAAAATTCTTTCTTAAAAATTGTACAATTGCAATGGTCAATTAAAACTTGTTATGATTTGTCAAGAAAAATATCTTAATTCAGAAAAGTAAATTTATAGTACTGATACACGTACACTGCACACACCTTTAAATAGTATATTCTGTCTAACTAAGATCCCATCCAAATTTCTAGAGAACAAACACAACCATGAACATTTTTGTCTCAGTAGAACCCTGGCTTCATGGATGAATTGTATTATTATGCTATGGTTGAGTAGATTTTTACAATTGCCTTTACACATCAAAATACTGTTAATCAGTAGAAATATTTTCATTGAAGAGTATGTGTCCTTATATTCCAGAATCATCAAACTCTCCAAGTGAGTTCCGCTTATGCCTGTTTCCAAAAAGCTGAAATGAAAAGGTATTCCTTCAACTGGAATCTGCGTAATAGAAATAAAAGAATCTGAAAACTTTCAATTTTGTACTCTCATGACACACACAGTACTCATTGACTGACAAAAATAGATAATAAACATATTGAGTGACCAAGGTGACCTACGACTCCAGTTATTAAGTTGTTAACTTTTTACTTTGAATTATTTATGAAATCAATCCATATATTTTTGGGTGGTGATCGGGGGTGTTGATCTGGAGAGGTGTTAGAATGCGGATCTTTAAGTGACCAGTTCTGCATTCTTTGAATTTGTAATATTAAACAATGATGAGAAAAATTCATAATTTCTAGTGTCTGTATTTAGTTATCATTAAAATATCAGAACATGTGCAGCAGGCCAGAGTAAACAAAGATATGATAGCAGAACGGAGAGCTGATATTTAAATTCTCTCTTCATACAGACCAGGAAGTGTAAATACCTGACAGGTAGATAATACAGGAAAACAGGTCTAGTGACCTGAATACATAACGACAGCTTTTAACAAGTCAGCAGCCATTACAGTTTTATATCAGGTAATATTTATATTTGTTCACAATTTTGATGTTTTGCTTGATGTTTATATCTAATTTACAATACATTTATAAGGTTTGGAATTACAAATATTTTGCTATCAATAAGTTAAAAAAAACACAAAATGTACAATTTTAAATGTCCATAAAATTGATAAAGATTGAGATTTTTCAAATTGAAATGTTTCTTCATATGACAACTCAGCCCCAATGGTCTATAAATTTTAAAATGTTGTTGAGGGCAAATGTTAATCATAATTATGTGAACAATGTGCCTGATTATTGTCCTTGAGATTAGAGGAAGATTTCAAAGATGTTATGTATTTGCAATACATGTTGATGCCATTGACCAAATTTCCACCATGGAGCATGAACCATGGACTTTTAGATTTTATTGTTTGTAAAATGAACATCGTATGAGGTACCAATTTCGATGCACCAGATGCGCATTTCGACAAATTATGTCTCTTCAGTGATGCTCATGCCAAAACATTGGAAATCCAAAATATTTAATTGAAAAAAAAAACAAACCAAAACCAAAAAAAAAAAAAAAACAACAACAACAATGAATTATTAAAAAAATAATAATATAGTCACCCTGCAAGCAAACAATTTGCCTAATAAATGTTCCTGAGTAAAGAACAATTTAAAGATGTAAAATGTTTTTTGTTACCAACTCAGCTCTACTCAAAGCCTAATTTTCTTTATACTTCAGCGATACAAGTACCATGGACCCCCGAGCCCAGGACGTATTGCAATGTGACCTGTGTGAGACCGCTGTTGTTCAGATGCACTGCGATACATGTCTTGTCAACCTGTGTAAGGCCTGTGTGGGAGAACACATGATATCTGATGAATCCAAGGACCACAAAGTCGTCAAATTTCAGTCCAGGAAATCCACTCCACTCTACCCTAAATGTAAATCTCATACCAAACAACAATGTACAATGTATTGTAATCAATGTGACATTCCTGTTTGTACAAAATGCCTTGCATCTGATCAACATCTAGGTCACAAAGTATCAGAAATATTGCAAGTTGTGGAAAAAATAAAGGAGAAATTCATAAAAGAACAAATTGAGTAAATGAATCAATCTATCCAACCTACCAGAACATCGCATCTGATGTTCAAAACATAATGAGTAAGTTAGAAATGAAATATAGAGATCTCTCAACAGCCATAACAAAACATGGAGAGGACTGGCACAGAGAAATTGAAAAACTCGTCAAGAAGCTTAAAGCTGAAATTAATGAGATGAAAAACACACAGTTACAAACTCTACAGAAACATCTGGATGAAATAAACAAGAACATTCATGACATCAAGGATGAAATTGATTCAATTAATGTCAATATTGACTCTAATGACTTATCAAAACTGTTCAGTGTAAAATCAAATGTACATATATACAGAAATCTTCCACAAAAAGTTGTACCATCTTTACCTAAATTCATTACAGGAAAAATCCAAGGATCAAAACTTTATAAACTGTTTGGCTCCTTATCATCAGATAAACATTGCTACAGAATGAAGATGACCAAGAATTCACCGGAAGCTGGATCCTCTCCTCCAGTCAAACAGCTGCTTGACGAACCAGAGACTGTCACTACCATAGACACTGGGTATGGGCGACTTTACAGTGTGGCTTGTCTGAGAGACAAAAAAATCTGGACAAGTGGAAATGACAACACAATGAAACTCTACAGCATCAATCGTGGATCACTACTCAAGTCAATCACAACCAAGTCAGAGAACAGACCAGACGATATAGCAGTGACAAAAAGTGGAGATCTAGTTTATACTGATGACACTGATAGAACAGTGAACATTGTGAAGGATGAGGAGATAGAGGAGGTGATCAGACTACAGAACTGGAAACCTTACAATGTTTGTAGTACATCATCTGGTGATCTCCTAGTTATCATGGATAGTGATGATTACAAACAATCTAAAGTTGTCCGTTACTCTGGCTCCACAGAGAAACAAACCATTCAGTTTGATGATAAAAATAAACCTCTCTTTTCTTCTGGTGGTTATGATAGATTCATTACTGAGAATAGGAACCTGAATATCTGTGTGTCTGACAATGGATCTAAAGCAGTAGTGGTGGTCAATCAGGCCGGGAAACTGAAATTCAGATACACTGGACATACTCCTGCTCCAAAGAACAAACCACTCAATCCACGAGGAATCACCACAGACAGTCAGAGTCAAATCCTTACAGCTGATAGGAATAATGACTGTGTACACATCATAGACCAAGATGGACAATTCCTCCGTTACATAGACTGTGGACTGAGTGCACCCTGGGGACTGTGTATAGATACAAAAAGTTATGACATTCTGTTTGTTGTTGAACTGAAAAATAGACAAGTAAAGAAAATCAAGTATCTTTGTTAATTTTAAGGCTGTGTACAGGGTTCCCACTAGGATTTTGCTAACTTGAGTCCCAGGACTCAAAGTATCTGATTAGGTTGAATTCGAGCTAAATTTCATGCATCCCTGAAAAATGATGCTGAGTCCAAATTGAATTATTTCAGTATCCTTTCATCGAAGCAAAAATAAAACCTTTATTTTAACAGAGATGTTTATTTCATGCAATATATATATATATATATATATATATATATATATATATATATATATATATATATATATATATATATATATATATATATATATATATATATATATATATATACAGACTTGTCACGTAGACATATTTCATGAAGCGCGCTAACGTGCTTCATGAAAAATATGCATACGTGCAAGTCTGTGTGATTTACACACCAATAACTCACACAAATCTTAAAAAACATTCCTTATATTTACATTTTACATGCTCAAAAGCACCAAAAATATACTCAATGTTTGAATTACTCGCTGCCCTATATTTTTATTAACATTTTTATTAACGTCTCTGTAGCAAATTGTCACGTCACTTTAGGCGAGTTTCTCCGTGCACATTTCTACGCGTGAGTATACACGAAAATGGCATTCAAATCAATTTCACAGTTGGCTTAGTATAAAAATACAGCAAATGTAAGTAATATATATATATATATATATATATATATATATATATATATATATATATATATATATATATATATATATATAGCACATTTTCCAACAACTCTTAAACTAACATTACTGCCCTAAGTGAAAAAATATTAATACAGAAAGCACAACGAAATTCACTTTTCTAAGAATACCCACTTCCGTCCCAACCCGGGTTGAACTTTCGACCTACGGAATCTGTTTCCTAGCAGTAGAGGAACAGCGTGCAAGACCGCTCGGCCATCTAGGTTAGTCAAAAATTGCTTTCGATGCCGATGGAATTCTCGCGGCGCTGTCTTACACTACACGGTCATTGAGAATGGAAGTGAGATACAGTTATTTGGACATTTTTATGAGAAGATCGTTACCGATACACAGTGTAATGAATTAATTTTTATTTTTATTTATAATTTTTATTTTTATTTCTCCACTTAGGGCATATAACTTTTCTTGCAAACAATTGCTAATTTGAATTTCTTTGAAACTGCTCTTCTATAAGAAATTCTTAAATGGAAAAACTGTACGAAACTACAAGATCAATACATACTGGAAGTTCAGGCTTCAATACCTTAAGCAAAAATAAAATTGAAACATCGATAAATTGATTCACTTCTCTGTATGGATAGGGACAATAGCAGCAAACTTTTTCTTATTGCAAAATTGATAACATGCAAGCATTTCAGAAACCTTTTGTCACCTTGTTTTTGTAATCTTATTGATTGGGGTGTGAGTGTAAAACTTCAAGGTAATGAGGTCAGAAACTATAAAACATTGGGAAAGGTCTTGTAATCGATAATGCATATGTGAAACAAGGGATCCATGAGCCACAATGCTCACCTGAGTATAGGAACCTCAACCATTCTGTTCCTCGAGAGGACAAAAATCTTGCACATCTTCAGAAGTTACAATGTACAAGATACTTGTAAATATGTAAATCTGGTAAAGATATCTCTCTGGGAATGAGGGATGGGTTGAAATCAGCATATGGTGTAGAAAGTGTATGAGATAACAAGAGGCCCGGGGATCTTAACGGTATAATACAAGAGGCCAATGGGCCACATCGCTCACCTGAACAATTTGCTAAGAAAAAGCAGAAATCTTTTCAGTATTGAAACATGTTAAACATTAATGTTTTTAATATACATTATACAGGTATTTTCAGTGTAAAGCTAGTTCTAAAAGTGTGGATACTGACTACGTGAATCAATGGTAACAACCACGATACCCTGGATGATCATATAGTAGTGTCAATACAAAAAAATACATTTATTATAATTCTCTGGACTTATAATAAATGTACAATTATGTCAATATCAACGAAAATGAGTTGATAGAATTTTTTTTTCTAACTGGAAGAATAAAATTTCGGGATTCAATTGGCATGATAACTTGCCATTTGTTAAAGTATATTAATCTTTTCTTCATTCTGTACACATTACAAGAACTTACTCAGTGGCATATTCAGTTGTTGTCTGTCCTGTTCCTATCGTCGCTGTAGTTCGTTGAAGTGCTGCTGTCTACTGAAGTTATTTTCTAGGGACTCTGACTGACTGACGTAACCATCAAGGACAGTATTAGCAATGGCTGCCAGCTGTTGGTAAATCCTTTCTTGACCCTCGGGATCTCGGACTTCAGGAATCACAACCTCTATCGTCTTACTAAACTAAGAAATTTCACACTCAGGGGGTCATTAAATATCGATTTTTTTAATCGCTCAGTAAATCATTGAAATATATATCTACTAAGTAGATGTATATAGGAAACAATTTTTAAACAAAAAGTAATATTGATTGCTTTACTTCATTATGATGTCAAATTGTCTATGACCTAAGGTATATTTAAGCTGTATATTGGGAGATAATCACGATGGTTTTAATATCACTATGTTCGCAATTCATCATTTATCCGCGAAATTAAACCCATCGTGAATGCTATCATTAGTTTTTTTAAAAAGCTTTAATGCCTATACAAATTGAAATTAATTTTTGCAGCGTGAAATTAAAACCATCTTGATTGGTACTTTTTGAGAAATCGTGAAATTTTAACACCGTGAAATTAAAACGACTTAGAGTATTTGAGCTTAATTTATTGTGTAAAATTGGGTGCATATATATATATATATATATATATATATATATATATATATATATATATATATATATATATATATATATATATATATATATATATATATATTATTTATGTGTATAAACTCCTTGTACCCTAAATTACAATGATTTCTTTTATATCACTTCTGAAGGAACGACTTTACTTTACCGGTCCCAAGAAAAACGTGCTAAAATATAGCGTCGCCTTAGACGACATATATATGAGATCCGCGAGCAATCAAGAAAAAGTACGAGGTTTTTGGTCTTTTTGACCCCAAAATCGATTTCTACGGTTAAAAAGTTTAGCTTAAAATTTCGTTTTTAAACGAAGTTTGTAACCTCATTTTCTAAAAAAAAAATACTAATATATATTGTTTATTGAGTGAAAAATCGACAAAAAATCACTGTCAACTAAGCGTTTTCGGCGCATGCCTTTATTGTGACATTTCTCTCGTACTTAGCCATTTTTTATGTAAACAAACCAATGAGATGCCAATGAAGCTGAGTTAAGGTCTTGCAAAAAATACAGATGCAACTGAATTTTTTTTATTAGTCTAAAAGAACAAGACACTAACCCAAATCTCCCAGGCGGATGCTGAACTCACCCTAATCAGTCAAATAATGTGCGAGGACTAACCCTAGTCTCGGATGGATGCGAGATTAGTCCTAATCAGTTGAATACTAGTCTTGTGCAAGAACTAACCCTAATTTCTTAGGTGGGTGCAAGACTAACCCGAACCAGTCGAGAAGTGTGTAGGACTAAACCTTATGAGTTGAGTGACGTAAATTTTACGTCATAGTGCAATGAACGTGTGGATCTTGTGGACATGGGGACTAGTAAAGTAAAGTCTACCCCTTTCAAGAATATAAATAGATAGCTGGTAAGTGTTTAACAAGGAAAGTTGTGATCCCATGGGCCCCACCTGACATAAATAGTTACCTGTTTAACATGGAATAATTTGATTTCATAGTCTCCTCCTGACATTAATAGTTACCCCACGTTTAATAAAGAATTTTCTGATCCCATGGTCCCCACCTGACATTATTACTTATAAGGTTTGTAAGTGACTATATATTTTCTCGAAGATCATAGTGTGAGACACATAAACACTATACGGACCTGTAGCAATGCAGATTTTTCAAAAAAGAGGGGAGGCAAAAATAACTGACAAACAAGAAAAAGCATTTATTGTCAAAACTGGGGAATTGTTAGGATCTTCCTCTAAATATTTGGAATTTTTTTAAGTGCAATAACGTGGCACTGGCCCACCTTCCACCCTACTGCAAGAAAAAGTGGGGGATGATGTGTACAGCGTTGAAATGATACAGAATCTACAGCAAAAGAATATATTCTTAAAAAAGTGGGAGCTACGTGTATGTACACCGAACCCCCCACCCCCCAGTACCACAGGCCTGCAAGAAGAGATGATCAAGATTATGGAATACAACAAATTTTAATTCTCTTAATTCAGATGAACAAACACATTGACTATCGAGTCCCGACCAATTTCATACAATCAAATTCTTCAAAATTATCAATCTCACCTCCTACCGCCAAGTTATCTTGAAAACTGTTTGAGGCACCCCTGTTTACTTTTAATAATCTGTTTCTGTTTAGTCCTCTCTTTTCAGCTAGCGAATCTCGACGCTACCATCGCTCGTGATGCAAACACAACAAATCTGACGTCATTACTTAAAAGGACCGCTACTCTCATTTTAAAAAAGAAAATATTATGGAAAGTGGTTCCAGTAATATATAATGTTTTCGAATATCGTAATATGTAAACGCAACGCGTATGCTATATTGTCAGATTTTAATATTTCACCTGCCCTATATAGAAATATAGACGGCAGTCACATGTCATGTTTAAACCAATGAAATTGCAAAATTCGGCATTTCAATCCGAGGGAAAACAAAGATACTTACCTGTTTAACAAGAAAAGTTCTGACCTCATGATATCCACCTGACATAAATAGTTACCTGTAACAAGGAAATGATCTTATGGTCCCCACCTGTTGATGACCACGGTATGTACTCTAAGTCATTTATAAGGGTAATCATCTTATTTTCCTACACTTAATCATGCAGGGTTTGACACTAAGGCACGTCCGACCGACCCAGTCTAGTAAATGAGTGTTCCAGTCGTGTAAAATATACCTGAACTAAACTGAATGGTCGTGTTGATAAAATAACAAACCCTCATTTTAGTCTTTTAAATAGTTAATCTAAAAACTTAAAAAAGG